AGTTTATTCCGAGGAAAACAAATTCACAACTACACTAGCAATGCACCACGCATCTGTGATGTGAAGATGCATTGCTCCACCGAAAAAAAAGAAGTTACAGACAACATAACAACAACAATTACAACAACAATACTGATGATAACATCTTATTCCATGCACATATTAAAAAGAAATTAACACGTTACGCAGACTGTTTCCTCATGTATATGAAGTTCAATGCTGCTAATCCACTGCTAGCGGAATGGACTTGGCCTGAAACAAAATCAGCAAGGCATTGACAACATAGAATGCTCTAAAATAGTTTATTAGAAAGTGAATATAGTGAGAATGAAATTTTAGTTATTGTGAAATACACTGTAAATCAGTATAGTTCATGAAAAAAAAAATATTATTCCAGCAAGCACTCTAGATATATAACTACTAACCAGATCCCGGAACTTGAGAATGTAAAACATCTCCAGATATCGTCGTGTCTCCCTCCTTTCAAGCTTGGATACATACTTCCAGAAGCCATAAACTCCAGCTAGTGTGAGTAGCCTTTCTGAATAAATCTTCCATGTGTAGCTGCATCCATAAAACATTAAGACTGGTTAGGATGAGGCAAATTGGCAAACCAAAATTTTCCTTCTACAGATCCATCAAGCAAGATCAGACCTTTCATAAATTCGCTTAAGCCCTCCATCAGATATCTTAAACCAGTAGCTGGGATCCTTCTGGCAACTTTCAAAGAAGTCAACCAAAATGGCAGTAAGCTGATCAGGGTCATATGGATCGACATGGAACCCTGAGATACCATGCTCAATGATCTCAGCAGGGCCACCATGACAAGTGGCAAATGTTGGGAGCCCAGAAGTCATGGCTTCCACAACTGTAAGACCAAAAGCTTCATAGAAAGCAGGCTGCAACAAATGAAAGCAAGAGTTATTTAAGTCAGAGTTACAGGCTAAAGTGAGAGGTCCGCCACCCATCTACAACCCATACCTGAACAAAAACACCTTTTGTATCTGCAATGTAGCGGTAAAGCTCACCATTACGTGCACGATTCATTTGAGCATTTATCCACCGAAACTGACCATGCAGATTGTATTGCTTTATTAGACCATGCATCTTTTCAATCTCAGCCATTTCTTCTCTATCCCTGGAATTTTTCACATCTATGTAACCACCAACCACAACAAGATTTGCTATTTCTCTTAGCATGCTGCACTTCCCATAGCATTCAACAAGGCCTGTTAAGTTTTTCACCTTATCCAGTCTTGCCATGGAAAAGATGATAGGCTTTGACTGATCACTCAACATACCACTGCATTGGCATAGATGAAAGTAGCAGATCAGGTTGATGTTACATGACAAATTATAGAAATATAGTATGCATGTGATCAGGAAAATTCTTAAGCATGATTGACACTAGCACTTAGACTTTCTTTAGGTCCAAACGTCCATGTGAAGATGCATGGCAATATCTTTTGTTTGTATTGTACAGTTGTGCGTTTGCACCCCTGTGCCTATAATTTGGCTCATATACTATACGGTTATCATATGAGGTATCAAGAAGCCTTCTTTGTAATGTCATCTCAATTACTGGTTGTTAGCCCTATATGAACAATGACAGCTAAAGAGGCTCTGGAACTTCAGAGGGATCAAATAATAGTTCAGAAAGATACTCACACATGCTCCTCATTTTGCTCTGGATTGTATAAGAGCTCTTCAATGGATCCATGCAAGGCTGTAAGCCTTTTCTCCTTTTCAGAGTATGGAAAATATATGCACATATCTGCGCCTGGAGATACAATATTGAACTTTGGATCAAAAACATCTATGCCGTGGACAACTCGATAAAGACCTGGAAGAGTGAAAGCTGTGTGGCTCTCATATTGTCCAACATTATTCTTGCTGAGACAGAAGAAAACTGTGAGCTATAAACATAAGACTCCTCAAGCAAATGTGAAAAAAAAAATTGAGAGAAAAAAATTGCAATGAGTTGTTAGACTTGAACAGAAGGGAAAAGAAACAATGCTGTACAATTACTTAAGAAAATAAATTACCTTCCAGCAATTTCTTGGTACGTACTGGTAATTATAAAATCTGCATTGTTCATTGCCATAAGATCGGCTGTAAATTGGCTTGAAAAATGGTACTTGTCTTCATATTTTCTCCAGTATATGTCAGAATCAGGATACTTGGTTTTCTCTAGGGCATGTGCAATGTTACACTAAATGGTAAATGCAAAAAAATATGGGATTAGTGGAAGAAAATATGTCCTCTACTCTATGGATAAACTGGTCAATTTATTATTTCTTGCAATTTATAAAATAATCAAAGCATACCTGTGTGATTCCTAGTTTATATGATAACAAAGTTGCAACCAAATTTCCATCACTGTAGTTCCCAACAATCAGATCTGGAACACCCTGCAACTCTGCTGCAATTTCATTTGATACATCCTAATAACAGCAAAACAATAAATAATGTTATGTGACTCAAACATCTAATGAGTTAAAGCATATAAACAGAAACTTATCCACCGATACTTTCATTTAATGGCCACCTTAGATGTGGTCACAGCAATCATAGAGAAGAAAGAATCAAAATCATGAACAATACAAGTGACTTTATTGAGCATCAATTTAGGAGTTACAGAAAATAAAGGAAATAAAATAAAGGAAAAGAAAAGCAATCAAAAGGTGACTGACGCTTGCCTCTGCAAAAGTTTCCAAATATGGCCACACGTCAAACCTTGAAATCCATTTACGAAGGATGCCAGTCTCAGTTCTAAAAGGAACACGCAAAATGTGTGTGTGTTCTGTTCCACTAACTCTTTCCAATCTTTGATTGCATGTCGTTCCTTTTGCATCAGGTATTAGCCGTGTAACCTTCAACCACGTTGTAAGGTAGTATAAGACAAAATCTGATGTGGCTATAAGTATGCCAAGCTTAGCCAATTGAGAAAGAAGATAAAAGTAAACTACAAGTAATGGAATAACTTTGGTAAGTGATAATATCACAATCAATCAATCACTGAAAAACTGTGCAGCGGGAAATAGAGGTCTGCACCCACATAAGCTAGAATTATACAAGAAAGGCACTTAGCAAACCAGATTAAGTACACTTACTATGAGAATTTTGGGGATAACATCCAGTCCTTGCTTCTGTATTCTAAGAAGCATGTCATTCTCCAAAGCACGCACTTGATCAAGTATATAGACGACCTGTGCTTGATGAGTATTAGAAGTAAAATTGTCATGATAAAAAATTTTACATGTCTCAAAAATAATCAATGTAGGTTCATCATTTAAGCAGTTGGGATAAATGGGGGCTAATAACTCTATGATTAGAAGGGCCAAATAGTTACCAGTAAGGGCCAAATAGTTACCAGTAAGGGCCAAATAGTTACCAGTTCATGCCAAAGGAGGAAGATTCAATGCAAATTTCTAGTTTTGAATTATAATAAAGAAAAACATCTTGATTGGTACACACAGAAAGAAAAGTACCTGTCCACCAGTGTCGGGCAAACCTAAAACATTAGCTTGACCAAAATAACCATGTGGAGACACAATAACAACATTGAAAACCATAGGAATTCTCCCAAGAAATGTCTCCAAGGTAGAGGGATCAGGAGCATGAAGGATTTCCAACAGAAGATGCATTGTCTCTGATACCCGTGCTGCTGTATCCCCCCAACCTCTCTCAAATCCCATTCCTTGTAAGCTGCATGTAAAATAAGGAAGATGGTAAAATATTGTCTACTATTAATTTGATGATACACTTCAAGAGTATTTGTTACGGACTAATCGGGAAGCAAAATTTGAGGGAAATTAGATTGATACAACCACTTACTCAAATTCAAACTCAGAATAAGATGTATTAGGTGGGAGCTTAGAGAGGTGTTCTTCTGCCCTTGTCAAAGCAGATTGAAGTCTGGATATGTTCTGTATTCGGTCATTCAGCATCATCCCCTACAAAACAATGAAAATATGATAAAAAAATTAAAATCATTTCATTTTATATGTCCTTCGTTGAATGTTTCTATATGTCCTTTATTGAATGGTGCCAATCTATCTTTTAACATCTTTTGTTAGATATTGCATGCCCATGAGTTAAATTGATATGCAAGCTGATGAGAAGGTAATCCACTTCCTGAAAGAACATCAATTTAATCTTCAGTAGCATAATTTTAAAGAAACATCATCAACTAATCAAGTAGACTTACACGGCCATCATGTTTGTGAGTACGGAGGAAATCTAGCAAAGGTTCCAAACTTTCTTTGTTGCGGAACATAATTGAAGATAAATGGCGGTTAAGAAATTGCACGCCATTGCCAATAGATGATGACCGGGTTGGTCTAGGAAATGTTGCATTAAATGGCTCGAAATCAAGCTCAAGCACATAGCTGGCATGGGACCTAAAACACATCACAAATATAAATTTTCACTGAATTTGCAGATAAAAAGACAGAGACTAAGAGGACCACTCTTCTATAATATGTATTCCTAACCAAATATTGCGCCCCATTACTAATTCATAAACTAGCATGGAAACTGCAGCTGGTGGAGGAAAATCAAATAACTGTTTCTAGATAACTATCTCATTAGTGAAAACTTATTGACTATTGACCACAAAATGAGTGACTTGAATCATAATTTGAGAAACATCTTTTGGTGCTCAATCCCATTTCCAAAGCTTCTGATGAAAACAGAATTACAACCAAGAACCACAAAAAAGAGATTTCTTACTGTCCATCCACAAGCTCTTCTTTAAATTGGAGATATTCTGCAATAGTCAAATTATCCACACTTAGTTCATAGACATTAACACGGATGTACTCCCAAACGCCAGGTCTTGGACGAATTGCCAAAGCCACAAACGGAGGCATAACTATAGCTTCCTGAAAGCAGCAGTTAAAAACATGAATGAAAACATTGATCTCCATTCAGTTCAAGATATTAGGACCAGATAAAAACTTCAATTCGAGAAAAGTCTCCAGAGCAAAAATACATGATAAAACGGCATGAATAGTAGTCCAAAATCACTAGAATAGGCAAATTTGATTTTAATTAGAGACAGAAGCACTGACATCACTGTGATTATTGAGAATTGAGAAATTACCTGTGCAGAATGCAGGAATTGCACAAAAGGACTATCTCTGAGCTTCTGCATCCTTTCGTCTTCCTTGACAGACTTCATCAACTCCTCTATCAGGTGATGAGATTGCAGAATCCCCTTCCCCTGCTCCACATACCTGCAAAAACAACAACATCCACGCCAAATCTCAACCGTCAAAAAACAAAACCGCCATTCCCCGACCCCAAACCTTACATCTAAACATGCAATTCAAAAAAAAAATATATATATTCCTCAAATTCTCAAATGAAATAAAAAAAACACACAAACGCATGCATCGGCAAACGAGAGATCATACCTGGAAAGGAGAGAGACGAGCTCATTCCGGTAAGCAAAGAGAGTGTCCTGAAGCCTATCCCGCATGCTACCGGACCGATCAAACATGGCTTTCGAAGATCTTTCCTCTGAAAACCACAAACGAGAGGAAAATGAGAGAAACGGAAGGAAAGTGAAGGAGAGAGGAAGGGATGAGAGGGTACATATAGCGAGGAGAAGCGGAGTGACGGAGAAGGAGCCAAAATTCTACTGAAGAAAGAAACGGCCATGGAAGCTCCGCCGCTGCACGATGTGGCACCTGGCACTCCATCTCAGGGACCTTCACAAACCGCTCCTGGTATGCCTCTGTCTTTTCCCTCCCTTTTTGAAATGTAAAATTGTAAACTGTGGGCTCCTGGTTTCGGAGTAACGGACGTTCATGGAGTGTCACGCCCAGGCGAGACCAAGGCAGTGCGGTGCACGAGCTAATTGTGGAGCGAGTTTGGGATGTTGGGTTGGGCTGTTTGGGTTTTCGGCCAACCCGCTGAATTGAGAGTTGGCCATTTAGTTTAGGAAGTTGGGTTACTCAAATGGGCCAGTCCATTACTCCTCGGCCCAGAAAAATCAGCTGATGGCCCCCGAAAAAACTTGAAAT